TTAGCAGTTCCTGCATTCTGTCAGGAATTAAGTCAGTCAAATCTTCATACTCTCCTGGGCCAGACAACATTCTCAGTTGTGTGCTCAAGGAGTGTTTTACCTCCCTATACCAACTATTGCTTATGCTAACTATTGCTTGCAATTTTCCAACTTTTTGGAAAAACTCCTTCATTCCGCTCCACTGCTTAAACGTTTGGTATCCACAGTGCATATCGTATCAGGATCGAATTGAGTCTGTTCAGAAACAAACTTTGCATACATCTATATATATAAAAAAAAGTTTGTCCTGACTGACTGACTGACTGACTGACTGACTGACTGATTGGTGATCAACGCACAGCCCAAACGGTAAAGGCTAGGAAGCTGAAATTTGGACTCAAGTATCCTATCAGGGTGTAGATGCGCACTAAGAAGGGATTTTGGAAAATTCGAGCTCCAAAGGGGGGAAAAGTAGCTCCAAAGTTTGTTTGAAAAATCCGCATTTTTCAACCGATCGACTTCAAACTTAGTTTCTAAAATCAATTAAAGAATACAAACAAAATTGCATACTCGGGGGAAAACGAGCTTTAAAAAATATAATTTTTTGTCAAGACCTGCTAGTGTTATATAAATTACTAGCAGGTATTGCCCGTCTTAACCCGGCTCAATATAATGTTTCCAATTGTATTTATTTTGTGTGTGCATAACCTACCCATATGTTTTCACCTTATAAGTTACCAGTAGGAAGGCATTTAAGGTATTTAAATGAACATTTTCTGTTCTTGACAAAAAATTGTTCAATAGTCCGTTACATTTTTGTTCTTGCCAAACTATTTCGTTAAACGAACATGACCACTATAACTACTATTTTTTAAAGCTCGTTTTCCCCCTTTTGGAGTTAGAATTTTCCAAAAGCCTTTCTTAGTGTGCTCCTACACTATGATGGATACTATGAAAGGATACTTGAGTCCAAATTTAAATTCACAATTGAGTCTTTTCGTGTCATATTGAGTCAATACGGCCACGCACAAACTCGGAATATGAAACACGACATTCGTGTCAATGCCGTGCAGCGATGAGCCACGATCAAAAACCACTGGCACCGATACCATCAAAATATCGAAGTTTGAATGCAATAAGCAGAATATTTAAATAATAAAATCGAATTATTTATTGAGATCAATAAGAACAAATCATATACATACATACATACATCTGCCCGCAATGCGAAGCAGAATATGCGTAGCTCCGATATTCGGTTTCTGCTTTACTATCGCTTACGCAGTCGTTGCCTAGCGACGGTAACTGTAAACTTTTGGTGTTTTGCCTTTGCAATTAACATTAAATGGTCAAAACGAAAGAAGAAGAGCGAGCTAATGACTTGCAGTTGTTGTTGTTTTTAGAGCATTATTTTTTTTTACAATCAAACAACTGTGTTCGATTGCCCAATGTATACATTAATACGAATGTACATACATGCTATATTCATACACAGGCATACATACATACATATGTATGTTTCTCTTTACTTTTTCAACCGTACGTAGAGAACCGCACACATAGACACGAACTGTTGCTTGTTGTGTGTGTGAGTGTGTGTATGAGATGTCCCCAACTATTAATGAAAGCTAAACAAAGACAAAATTACTTTTAAAAATGTTATATAATTTTCAATTAATTAACATTTCTTGCTCTGTCAGTGCAAGACGAATGTACAAACATACATATGTAGATACATATGTACATACATAGATGTGCACATATGTATGGACATTCACACATTAGTGTCTCACATTTTGCTTTGGCTATTTCAATCATTTGCACGCAACTACACGAACAGCTGTTTGCATGTGTGTGTGTGTGTGTGTATGTATACTTAGTTGTCCCCAACTGTTTGATATTTGTATTGTTTGTTCTGCCTGCTTTTGTAAAATGCATATTTTGAAAATCCTTGAATGCAAAGTTGTAGATTTAGTTACGTAGATTACATTATCCAAATTTTAAATCGATCGGACTAAATATATAACACAAACTTTTCATTTGAAATAGTGAATAAATATTAAAACCCCAATAATTCAAGCTCCAACACAAATTTCGAAAATCCGAGTATGCAGTTTTGTTTGTATTCTTTAATTGATTTTAGAAACTAAGTTTGAAGCCGATCGGTTGAAAAATGCGGATTTTTCAAACAAACTTTGGAGCTACTTTTCCCCCCTTTGGAGCTCGAATTTTCCAAAATCCCTTCTTAGTGCGCATCTACACCCTGATAGGATAGCCCAAATTTCAGCATTCTAGCTTTTACCGTGTGGGCTGTGGGCTGTTGACGCGGTTTGCTTTTGTGCCCCAACATTTTTTTTACAGGAAAACTCCCATATTTTAGGCCCCAAAAAAAATACCAAAAAACCAAGTATACAGTTTTTCTTGGAATTGTTCTGAGAGTATACAAACTAAGTTTAAAGTTAATTAGATGAAAACTGTAGATTTTTCATACAAACGTTGGAGCCTGTTTTACTTGAGTCCAAATTTCAGCTTCCTAGCCTTTACCGTTTGGGCTGTGTGTTGATCACCAATCAGTCAGTCAGTCAGTCAGTCAGTCAGTCAATCAGTCAGTCAGTCAGTCAGTCAGTCAGGACAAACTGTTTTATATATATAGATTAAGTCGATCGGTTAAATATTTTTCATGCAAATGTTGATGCCTGTTTTCCCACCTTTGAAGCTCGCATTTTTCAAAATCGCTCTTATCGCCAGCTTACACTATGAAAGGATACTTGAGTCCAAATTTCAGCTTCCTAGCTTTTACCGTTTGGGCTGTGCGTTGATCACCAATCAGTCAGTCAGTCAGGACAAACTGTTTTATATATATAGAAGTAGTAAATAAACGTATAATTGTAAGCACAAATACTGAGCCAGCAAAGACGGGCAAGACCATCTACTAATAATATATTGAAACATTTCATCGTATCATTCTTTTACAATCTATCCTTGTAGTTCATAAATACATCTTAATGTGTCGATCCCTAAATAAGTATGTATGTTCGGGTATAAGATCTTTAAAACTCGAGCAAATTATTTATCATTCAAAAAGAATGGTAAATTACTTTTTTACTTGAATAAATATATATAAAGGCGTAATGATAACAATCACTTTTGCTATAAATACAATTGTCATTAAGTGAATCAATTATTTTTCGGGATGCGTTCACTGAAGGATGGGACGTGTTATAACAATAAAAACAATCGAATTGTGTATTGTCACCCTTCAATTTTATTGTGTGGAAAATTTATATAAGACCTACCCACATAAACAGGAATGGTGATTACCTTTGTATAAAACAGCTCAAAACCAAATATTAATGTCTGAGTAGATACACAACAGTGGTATGTTTTTGAAAGATAAAAACGCATTTATAAACCATGGGATGGAATAATACAATGTAAACTCACCCCAAAACGCATGCTGAAATACGTTCATTGTTTGATCATGTTCTGCACTCTTAAAAGGTCCCGGCTTTGTGTTAAATGCATGCTTGCCTCTCTTACTAAAAGGACTTTAGACATAATAAAACATCCATGCATCCATCCATCCCCCAAAATGGATATGTTTTCCTACCTTCGTAAGGCAAAATACATGTAGGCATGTTCATATGTATGTACATGCGCACGTATTAATAAATCGATCGAATACAAAACCACAAATACAATTTCTTCTTATACCTACTTTGTTTTATTTTCTATAATTGGTTTAAAAATGATCCAGTCAATTGTTAATTTGTTAGTCTGTTATTTAACTGTGAAATTTGTCTTTACTTTACTCGCCCACTACATAAACGTTTATTAGTTTCTTTTAAACAAGCAGAGAAGCTAAAGTCGGCTGTCCCGACTTTGAAATACTCTGTACATATGTGTAGAATAATTAAGCGTGTATGTGTGTGTATTTCTCGTGTGCCTGTGCAAAGTAGTAACAACAGCTGCAGGCACTGCTTGGTCGTGCATACATATATGGCTATAACTTCCTGTTAAATCGGCCTATCATGATGATTATCTGAATGATAATTAATTAATTAATTACAATTTTACCCTTAAAAAAGGAAATTGGTAAATTTCTCCCTTTCTCAAAGCTACTATGATAGAATAATTATACCCTGTACCCAAAGGGTAAAAGGGTATACTAGTTTTGTGCGAATGTATGTAACACACAGAAGGAGGCGTGGCAGACCCCACAAAGTATATATATTCTTGATCAAAATGACGTGACGAGTCGATCTAGCCCTGTCTGTCTGTCTGTCCGTATGAACATCTGGATGTCAGAGACTATAAGAAGTAGAGACACCAAACTTTGCACAAAGATGCGTTATGTGTGTAAGTTTGTTTTATTACCCCCGAAACCCCCCCCCCCCCCCCCCCCCCCCCACTTCCCCCTATGGGGGTCTTCCATTCATCATTCAGAGGCGTGCATTTTAATGAATAACATTTAACGCATTTGGAAGTATTGAACTAATTATTAGCACTCTGGAGTTAAGTTCTGTAAACTTTTCCACGTACAAGTTATTTATGAAGTTATTTGTCTTACGTTTCAAGCAATCCAGATGGCTAAGCACATTGGGGAACTGGTATTTGAATTAATAATGTTAATAACAACAATTTCTGAACATGTTTGCAACAAGCAATTTGTAACTGATTTTTTAGGCATGGAGAGTGATTTATTGCAGCAACCTTTTACGCACACGCATCGGAAATTTGGCTTTCGGCACAACCCAATAACCGCTGATATGGTAAACCTATCATAGGTTTACTCGTCTTTTCTTCTTAATCTTTTGAAAACCCTTCCTCAACTTCATCGCTATAGGCTCACAAGGAGCACAAATGATGATATGATGATTTAATTACGGGACAACTTTTAATCCAATATTTTCATAGTTTTAGAACTTTATTGTTTTATACGAATTATTTATGAGTAAAGAATGAATTGATAATTTTATGGTTTGTTGTTCGTCCATTCGACATGTGAAATAATATCTTACCTGTGTGGGCGTCAAGTGAATAAGACTTGCCAAATGTTCTCTTTCAGGTGCAGACAAATATCTTTGTTGTTTGAATCTTCTTTCAAGTTCATAAACCTACAAAATAAAATAAAAAGTAATCAATTCTTTATACACTTGAATTTTGTCTTATTAACAAACAAAATTAATTTAAAATGTACAATTGTAAATACTATGAAAACTTTAATTTGATATTTACACTACACTTCAAACCAAAAGCAAATGTAAACAGTTTTTAGAGAGAATATTTACTGTTCAAATTTGTGTACGAGTATGTTTATATGGGTTGTTTGCGCATTGCAGCCAATAGCCACCACATTCAAGTTTATTTGCAGTTTTACACTCTGTATCCAAAAGATAAAAGGGTATACTAGGTTAGTGAGAATGTATGTAACACACAAAACAAAGCGTGGCAGACCCCTGAAAGTATATACATATATCAAATTTTTATGGCTTTTACTCAAAGAGTAAAAGGCTATATTATTTTTGTGCAAATGTATATAACACGCAGAAGGATACGTCCGTCCGTCTGTATGCACGCAAGAATATCAGAAAGTATAAGAGCTACAATATCCAAACCAGATTCTCCTCTGTCAGAGAAAGTACGATTTTGAGTTTTTTTTTCGATGCACCCCGCACTCTTCCACAATTTTTGTTTACTAAGAAAACTTTAAAACCTTACATTAGGTTTGCGGGAGATGAAAAATGTAACAGGCAGAAGGAGGCGTGGCAGACCCAACAAAGTATATATATTCTTGATCAGCATGACGAGACGAGTCGATCTAGCCCTGTCTGTCTGTCTGTCTGTCTGTCTGTCTGTCCGTCTGTCCGTATGAACACCTGGATCTCAGAGACTATAAGAGGTAGAGACACCAAACTTTGCACAAAGATGCGGTTTGTGTGTACGCTGTGCAAGTTTGTTTTATTTTTTTTTAATTTTCTTCCCCACTTCCCCCCTATGGGGGCTTTCAGTATTTTCTATGTGTTATGGAATATCCCTCCCTCCCCCTCTCCACAAACAATCAATGATTGTCGATAACTCCTGTATTTCTACGCCTGTTACATTTTTCATCTCTCGCAAACCTAGTACTTGTATACCAAGAGTATATACATTTCATGTTCGGAGTATAAACAGCGAAATGCTTACGTCAGTTGCAGACTTTATTATTTATGTTTGTAAATACTTTTTTGAACCAGCTTTACAGCAACATACTTATGTATTGTATGCTATTAGTGATCTATAAAACAAGAAAGGAATGCTAAAGTCGAGCGAGCTTAACTCTTAAATACCCTGTAGCTCCCACCAAAAAAAAACAAGAGAGAACGCTACAGTCGAGCAAGCCCGACAGTGTAATACCCTGTACCCAGGTAAACTTCCGTCACTGAGTTATATGCGCCCAAAGCAGCAGCAAAAAGAGGAAGAAGAAGAGCGAACTTGTTGCTGCAGTTTGTGGGGGGGGGGGGGGGGTTGTACTGGGGGGGGGGGGTTGTTTCGCTAATAGCTTTTCTTAGAACTGACCGAATTATATAAAATTTTGAACAACAGTAGACAATTATATATAAATTATGTGTGCAAAGTTTGGTTTAGGTAGCATTTGAAATGTGGACGCTATTGACGAAATTCTGTAGCGGGGGAAGGGGGGGAAAATTCCAAAAAATAAAATAAACTCGTCCTTTCTCGGACCTGGAATCTGGATGCCAACTTTGGTTATTCTAGCTTTTATAGTTCTGAGATCCTTGCGTTCATCCAGACGGAAGGACAGACGGACGGACATGTCTAGATCGATTTCTTTCGTCATGCTGATTCAGAATATATACACTTTATGGGGTCGGAGATGCTTCCTTCTGCATGTTACATACTTTTCACAAACCTAATATACCCTTTTTACCCTACGGGTACAGGGTATAAAAACAAGTAAAAAAGCTAAAGTCGGGTTTCCCGACTTTGAAATACTCTGTACATATGTTTAGAATAAATATAGAAATTAAAAAAAGTAAGAGAATTTAAAAAAAAAAACAAGAAAGGAATGCTAAAGTCGAGCAGGCTCAACTCTTAAATACCCTGTACCACCCCACAAAAAAGTATGGATCAGAAAAAATGAACAAACTCGTCCTTTCTCGGGCTCAGAAGAATCTGTATACCAAGTTTGGTTATTCTAGCTCTTATACTTTCGGAGATCCTTGCGTTCATACAGACAGACGGACAGACAGACGGACATGGCTATATCGATTCGGCTTGTCATGCTGATCAAGAATATATATACTTTGTGGGGTCTACCAAGCCTCATTCTGTGTGTTCCATGTGCACTCGCACAAAACTAATATACCCTTGTACCTTTTGGGTACAGAGTATAAAAATTTGATCGATTTTACCTCTTTTGGTATTCGAACTCACGTAAATTACACGTAATTGCACATATACAAAGCAAAGGTATTTGCAATGTAATTAATTGTTCTGCATACAAACACTCATATAAACACGCATAGACACGATGATGTAAACGTATGCTGTTGAAACTGTACATGAACATGTCTCCACTTTTGTTATGTATTGAATAATTTGTATTAAATTTAATTAAATACTTTAATTAATATAATTATAAAATTAATTTTAAAGGGTGAAAGGCTAGTTTTGTGCGAATGTATGTAACATACAGAAGGAGGCGTGGCAGACCCCACAAAGTATATATATATATATTATGGATCAGGGTGACAAGACGAGTCGATATAGCCATGTCCGTCTGTCCGTCCGTCTGCCCGTAGCGCTGACAGCAGCTGTTGTTGTTGTTGCTGCTTTGGTTCAACTTTGTGCATACATACACGCATATAAACACGCATAGACACGTGATGTAAATGTATGCTGTTAAAACTGAACATAAACATGTCTTCTAATTTAATTTAATTAATTAATACATTAATTCAATTTTTAATAATCTAATTTTAAACAAAAAATTTTTTTGTTTAATTTTTCTTTTTTGTGGAGAGTACAGGCTATTTTACTTGCGAACTCACGTAAAGGGTGTATAATTGCACATATACAAAGCAATTGCGTCTATGTGAGTGTATGTATGCTTATGCTCATATATTCGTGTTTGCTTTCGCAGTCAACCAAAGCACCAGCATCAACAACAGTCGCGGGCAGCGCTTGAGAGCGCTGCAGCAGCAAATATTTTTAGGGCTATAACTTCTTATTAAATCGGTCTATCATGATTGAAACTTGGCATACGAACACATAAGGGGTATTTGCACAATTTCAGTTCGAAATTCTAAGAATTACAGGGTATAAAAATAAACTTTCACAGCGTACACACATAACGCATCTTTGTGCAAAGTTTGGTGTCTCTACCTCTTATAGTCTCTGAGATCATACTGGTGATCATACGGACAGACAGACAGGGCTAGATCGACTTGGCTTGTCATCCTGATCAATAATATACAAGGTGTGCTCCAAAGTAAACAGGACTTAAAAAAAAAATAGAACAAATGGTTTTTTGGCAAAATCAATTTATTTTATTCAAAATAGTCTCCTTCTGCGTCAATACAAGTTTTTGAACGATCCAAAAGCATGTCGAACGAGTGTTTTAGCTCGTTGGCCGGTATGGCCGCCAGTATGCCGGTGCAATCCTTTTGAATGGCCTCTACGTCTGCATAACCCCTTCCTTTCATGGGCAAATGCATTTTTCCGAAAAGGTAGTCGCACGGTGCCATATCAGGTGAATACGGCGAGTGGTTAATGGTTAAAATGTGATTTTTGGTCAAATAATCGGTCAAAAGCGTCGATCGTCTGAGCAATTTTTGGTCGTCAGTCAATTTGTGCGGAACAAACCGTGCACACACCTTTCGTAAGCCCAAATGTTCGGTCAAAATGTGATAAATCGATGTTTTGGAGATGTTTAATTCCATTTCCATCAATTTTAATGATGATTTCGGCTGATTTTTGTTGAATTCACGCACAGTTTCGATGGAATTTTCGGTGATCACGAATTTAGATTGGCCCACATGTTGATCGTCATTTATGTCCCCACGACCACTTTGAAAACGTTGAAACCACTCGTGCACTCTGCTACGGGATAGGCAATCATCGCCATAAACTTGTTCCATCAATTGAAACGTTTAGGTAAAAGTTTTACCAATTTTAAAACAAAATTTAATGTTGGCTCTTTGTTCGAAGCTCATTTTCGAACCGATAACACAAACATACTGACACTTAAAACGCAATAACTTCACTTCCAATCGATGAAATGTCATGAAGTTCTCACTGGACAATCGATAAAGATAGCAGATTCTAACGCACTAGTCGACATATAGATAGCGCCACCAGGGGGCGCTAGATTCAAAAAGTCCTGTTTACTTTGGAAATCTCCTTGTATATACTGTGTAGGGTCTGCCACGTCTCCTCCTGCTTGTTACATACATTCGCACAAAACTAGTATACCCTTTGGGTACAGGGTATAATAATCATGGTTATGATTACAAATAATTCTTTGAACGATTAGACTAAAGACAAAATTATAAATATTTAGATTGAAAAAGATTTTTCGGAATCCCGAATATGCTTAAAAAAAAACCGTTAGTTTAACAAACCTGTGCTTGAGTAAATAAAACTCTCCGTTTTCTTCTTTGCGCTAAAGGGAACTGTAGAGGTTTTGACTCGCTTACACTGCACGCTGCTAAGCCACCCATGTTCCCCATATGCCCCATTGAGCCGCTGGCTGATGTACTCATAAGTCGTGATACTGAAAAAACAAAAAATCAATGAAGAGACCTATCAGCTCATTTAACATAATACAAACATATGTATATGAAAATGAATAAATGGAAACATTTTGACATAAGATCATTCACAGTAATCACCATAACAAATAGAAGTCATAAAAAAGTTCGAATGCAAATTGTATTTGTATGAACAACTTTTATGTTTATAAATTTATTGCATCCGAATTATATGAGTACCTTGTTGACATACCTGACGATGTTGCTTGTTTGTGATGGTGTTTTGTTTGGTGACCATGGATGACCAAACGTTTAATAAATTTATGGTAAATGTTTGCTAATGCATACACTCATAAAAACACACGTAAATTTAAATATTTACACGTTTATTGAAATATTTTCACCATCGATTTTGCACCGTCATGTGTTTTAGTAGATATAAAGTATGCACACTTCAATTCCAGTTTAATATTAAAATATTAAATTTAAAGTGTGATGATATTTAATGACAAGTATTGATGTGGATGTGGGCTTGATTCACACCAAAGATTTCCTTTTTATAAATATAAAATATTTTGAACACATTTTCGTCTACTCTTCTGCATATTTAAGTGTTTTTATAACATGTCGTTAATGAACGAGAAATATATATTTACATATATCATTATTATGTGCATGTGTATTACTTATACATATATTTATTTATATAAGAGAACACTTTTATTAGGAAGTAATTTTCCTATTTGATTTGTTATTATAATAAAGAAACAAGTAAAAAAGGTGAAGTCGGGTGTCCCGACTTTGAAATACTCTGTACATACAAGGTGTGTTCCAAAGTAAACAGGACTTTAAAAAAAATCGAACGAATGTTGCCGGTGCAAGCCTTTTCAATGGCCTCTACGTCTGCATAATGCTTTCCTTTCATGGACAAATGCATTTTTCCAAAAAGGTAGAAAAGGTAGTCGCACGGTGCCCTATAAGGTGAATACGGCGAGTGGTTAATGGTTAAAATGTGATTTTTGGTCAAATAATCGGTCACAAAGATCGATCGTCTGAACAATATTTGGTCGTCAGTCAATTTGTGCGGAACACACCTTTCGTAATGTTCGGTCAAAATGCGATAAATCGATGTTTTGGAGATGTTCAATTCCATTTCCATCAGTTTCAATGATGATTTTGGCTGATTTTTCATAAATTCACGCACAGTTTCGATGGAATTTTCGGTGATCACGAATGTTGATCGTCATTTATGTCCTCACGACCACTTTGAAAACGTTGAAACCACTCGTGCACTCTGCTACGGGATAGGCAATCATCGCCATAAACTTGTTCCATCAATTGAAACGTTTAGGTAAAAGTTTTACCAATTTTAAAACAAAATTTAATGTTGGCTCTTTGTTCGAAGCTCATTTTCGAACCGATAACACAAACATACTGACACTTAAAACGCAATAACTTCACTTCCAATCGATGAAATGTCATGAAATTCTCACTGGACAATCGATAAAGATAGCAGATTCTAACGCACTAGTCGACATATAGATATCGCCACCAGGGGGCGCTAGATTCAAAAAGTCCTGTTTACTTTGGAACGCACCTTGTATATATATAATAATTATATAAATTAAGAAAATTAAAACAAAAGAGATCGCTACAGTCGAGCAAGACCACAAAAAAGGAAATTAAAAAAAAAATTAAAAAAAATTAAATTAAAAAAAAAATGAATTAATTAATTAAGTAATTAAAGTAAATTAGAAGACATGTTTTTGTTCAGTTTTAACAGCATACATTTACATCACGTTCCTATGCGTGTTTATTTGCGTGTATGTATGCAGCACAAAGTTGAACCAAAGCAGCAACTACAACAGCTGCGGGCAGCGCTGCCGACAGAGCTGCATCCAGCGCATGAGCAGCGATTTTATTTATGGCTATAACTTTCTTCACAATTGACCTATCTTGATGAAACTGGCACGCGGACACATTATTGTAGGATGTACCTACCAAAATTAATTTCAAAATTCCAAGAATTACGGAATTCATACACAAAAACACGAATTGCGGGGGAGTGTGGGGGTGTATCAGAAAAAAAAATAAACTTGACCTGCCTAGGACTTAGTGGAACCTGGATGCCAAGTTTGGTAATTCTAGCTCTTGTACCTTCTGAGATCCTTGCGCTCATACAGACGGACGGACAGACTGACGGACGGACATGGCTATATCGACTCGTCTTGTCACCCTGATCCATAATATATATATATATATACTTTGTGGGATCTGCCACGCCTCCTTCTATGTGTTACATACATTCGCACAAAACTATTATAGCCTTTCACCCTTTGGGTACAGGCTATAAGAAACAAGTAAAAAAGCTAAAGTCGTGTTTATTTGCGTGTATGTATGCAGCACAAAGTTGAACCAAAGCAGCAACTACAACAGCTGCGGGCAGCGCTGCCGGCAGAATATGGAATATTTTATATTTAATTTAGTTAATTAATTAAATTAATTTAGTTAATTAATTTAATTAAATTAAATTAAATTAAATTAAATTAATTAATTAATTTAATTTAATTTAATTTAATTTAATTTAATTTAATTTAATTTAATTTAATTTAATTTCTTTAATTTCCTTTTTCTTTCCTTTCTTTATTTCTTTATTTCCTTTCTTTCCTTTAATTTCCTTTCCTTTAATTTCCTTTCCTTTCCCCCTTTCCTTTCCTTTCCTTTCTTTCCTTTCCTTTCCTTTCCTTTCCTTTCCTTTTCTTTCCTTTCCTTTCCTTTCCTTTTCCTTTCCTTTCTTTCCTTTCCTTTCCTTTCCTTTCCTTTCCTTCCTTTCCTTTCCTTTCCTTTTTCCTTCCTTCCCTTCCCTTCCCTCCCTTCCCTTCCCTTCCCTTCCCTTCCCTTCCCTTCCCTTCCTTCCCTTCCCTTCCCTTCCCTTCCCTTCCCTTCCCCCTTCCCTTCCCTTCCCTTCCCTTCCCTTCCCTTCCCTTCCCTTCCCTTCCCTTCCCTTCCCTTCCCTTCCCTTCCCTTCCCTTCCCTTCCCTTCCCTTCCCTTCCCTTCCCTTCCCTTCCCTTCCCTTCCATTCCTTCCTTAATTTCTTGCTTATTCCTTCCTTCTTTCCTTTCTTTTTTCTGGGGTGGTACAGGGTATATAATAGTTGAGCCTGCTCGACTTTAACATTCCTTTCTTGTTTTCTTTTAATTTTTATAGCCTGTACCCAAAGGGTGAAAGGGTATGCTAGTTTTGTGCGAATGTATGTAACAGGCAGAAAGAGGCGTGGCAGACCCCACAAAGTATATATATTCTTGATCAGGATGAGAAGACGAGTCGATATAGCCATGTCCGTCTGTCTGTCTGTCCGTCTGTCTGTATGAGCGCAAGGATCTCAGTAAGTACAAGAGCTAGGATAACCAAAATTGGTATCAAGGTTCTTTTAAGACCTAGGCAGAACGAGTTTGTTTATTTTTTCTGATACACCCCCCCTCCCCCCACACCACCGCAATTCGTATTTTTTCTTATAACTTCCGTATCAATTTTGGTAGGTACATCCAGCTAGTACTAATGTGTCCGTGTGCCAAATTTTATCATGATAGGTCAATTCTGAAGAAAGTTATAGCCATAAGTAAAATCGCTGCTCATGCGCTGCCTGCAGTTCTGTCGGCAGCGCTGCCCGCAGCTGTTGTTGTTGTTGCTGCTTTTGTTCAACTTTGTGCTGCATACATACACGCATATAAACACGCATAGGTACGTGATGTAAATGTATGCTGTTTAAACTGAACATAAACATGTATTCTAATTTAAATTATTTAATTATTTTAATTAATTAATTCATTCATTTTTTTTAATAATTTAATTTATTTTTAATTATTTTTTTTTTGTACTGTCTGGCTTGCTCGACTGTAGCGTTCTATCTTGTTTATTTTTAAGTATTGTAAATTATTTTTTCATTTATTTATTTAAATTTTTTTTGCATCGATAACCATTTTTGTAGGTTAATAAAAACTAATAGAAAATAACATATATACGAGTATACATATGCATATGCATACACATATGTATGTACACTTTCACCCTGCAAATGTGCACACATTTTAAAAATCATCTTCCTATTGGTTAAATAAACAATGACAATGACTTAATTCAAAATCAATTATTCTTACACATACCTTTTCATATTTAGGTAAACACAGTAATAATAAGAACCAACATTGATTGCGTGACGAAGCGTCTTTAAGATCTTACGTGTTTACTTAAGAACATCTTATAAATACAGACCACATGATTTCGAGTACTTGGCGTGAACTTCACTCTATTCTTTGGGAATGACGTTTTCATTTCTATGATATACATTCGAGTATGTATGTCCGTATATATATACATAAATATGTGTATAATTGTATGCGTGTGTGTATTTATGCACAATACACTTTGAATAAGCGTAGGTTTTTGTCTCACATGAGGTAGGTTCATTAGTCACTCGGACGACTTTGATTTTATTCTCCTTTAACTTATCCCCTATTTTTATACTCTGTACATGAAATGTACAGAAGTATATTAGGTTTGCGGGAGCTGAAAAATTTAACAGGCAGAAGGAGGCGTGGCAGACCCCAGAAAGTATATATATTCTTGATCAGCATGACGAGACGAGTCGATCTAGCCCTGTCTGTCTGTCTGTCAGTCTGTCCGTCTGTCCGTCCGTATGAACACCTGGATCTCAGAGACTATAAGAGATAGAAACACCAAATTTTGCACGAAGATGCGTTATGTGTATATTCTATACGAGTTTGTTTTATTTTTTTGATTTTCCCCCCCACTTCCCCCCTATGGGGGTTTTCCCGATTTTCCATTCGTATAATCGCCTATATCTCGGAGACTATAAGACCTAGGACCACCAAATTTTAGTCCCAGATGCCTTATGTGAATACGCAGAAAATGTATATTTTGGAATTTCCCTCCCTCCCCCTCTACCCCGCAAATCGTAATTCCCGTAGTTCTTGGAATTTCGAACTAAAATACCCCCAGTTA